AGAAAAAAAAATACACACACACACACACACACACACACACACACACAAGCACACACACACACACACACACACACACACACACACACACACACACACACTCATGTTAAACCTGTTTTTTAACCCAGTTTCTCAGTGTTTGCTCTCTTCAATCATCATCATCATCATCAGGCACACCTTGTAACCTTTTTAAATAATTAATAAAATACTCTCAGAACATGTAATTTCCACAACGATCATGATTATTAGTGGGTGGGTCAGATTGAGAGTCATTAACCCTCTCACCTGATTGGTCCGGTGGTAAACCGGATGTCCCACATTCCAGACCAGTTTGAGATTTGACTGGAAACCAGAGCACAGGGTTCAACAAGAACCAGAGCTCTTCATCTGAGAAACCCCCGAGGTCCAGTCAGACTGGATTCCACAGTAATAATGAAAACAGACAGGAGTCAGTCGGTGGTGCTCATTTCCACATTCATTGGTTCCTACCTGGACACTGGGACAACCGGGGGTGGGGGGTCTGCTTTTATGTCCCGACACTCAGATTTGAACTTGTGTTTTCTCTGACGTCAACCGTGGAGTTGCTCAACGACCTTTAGACACACGGGCCCTGGTATACTCCAGAATCCTGACGTACACATGTAACTGATGAGGCCACGACGTGAGATACGTATAAAGAAACAGACGGAACCCCTGACCCAACTCTACAACAGTTTCATCTGTGTGTTCACGTCTTCAGTTGAATTGAATTTCATGTCGTGACGCCAAGTTGCTGCTGCAGGTTCTTAATTTATCTATATTTACCAGAACCTGCCACTGACTCAGATTCAGCTGGTTCAAATAACAACAGAGCAGATTCTCTAACCTCCGTTTATAAACAGTAACAAGGAAATAAAATGAGATTAAAAAGAACAAGAGTCGGAGCTGAGTTAGTGTTGTTAGTGTTGTTAGCGTTGTTAGCGTTGTTAGTGTTGTGTCTCCGAGTGAAGACGGTTTACAGCCTCTCGACAAAGACTCTCCTGCATCAACGTGACCAACACTTCACTTGTGTTGTCTTACAGTGAGACTGAAGCTAAAACTGGTTCCTGGAATTCCTTTCAAACATTGAGTATGTGTCTCTGGTGTGTGTGATGAGTGTGTGTCTCTGGTGTGTGTGATGAGTGTGTGTCTCTGGTGTGTGTGTTGTTTTTGCTGTGTTTCCTTGTATGTGACAGTTTCTGGGAAATCACATCACTGAACAAGAAACTTTTCTTCTGTTGTTTTCTTTAACTCAACACAAACAACTTCCTGCTTGTACTTGTAGAATTGTCCAGATTTAAAAACACAAACGTTTTACAGAGAAATGAAACGCTGAGAATATTTGATCAATGATGATTCTTAAAGGAAACTTATTTGATAAACATTAATAATAGTAAATAATAATGATAATTAAGGAGAACATCAGGATAAATGAAATAAAAAGCATCGCACACAGAACAAATAAACCAAAACAAAGCAGGTGTGAGCTGAAGAGCAGAAGTTATTTATTTATGTTTATTTTAAAATCCTGGAAATGAAAATAGCTGTTGAAGCAAAGTCCCTTCATCCAGGTGACGTCAGCAGTTTTCCAAACAAACTCCCGAAGAGTCAACTTCACAGCTCAGGAGAGAATCCGTCCATGGTGGTGTGGATCTGAAGGTCCCGAATCCACCAAGGATGTTAGTTAACTAAGTGAAAACTAACTAACTAACTAACTAACTAAGTCAGTCAGTCAGTCAGAGTCAGTGTTTTTCATTTCAGGTGTTACAGATGTCTTATTGTTACAGATGTTACAGATGTTAGTTCACACTAACTGACCATGTGAAGAGTTTTTTTAAAGTGAACTCAGATTCTCGTCTGTTTGATAAAAACTGAGCAAAACGAGCAGAAAGTTCAACTGAGGACAGAAAACACTGAAATAAATCTGTTGCTGCTAATGTGTGTGTGAAAGTGTGTGAATGTGTGTGTGTGTGTGTGTGAAAGTGTGTGAATGTGTGTGTGTGTGTGTGTGTGTGTGTGTGTGTTTGTGATTGTGGCGTGTGTGTGTGTGTGTGAGCATGCAAATAGCCTCTAATTGGGGCAGTGTATTCACTTCATCGAATGAATCACTGCAACAACAGGAGTCTTTTCCAAAGTCTCAGTTTAACTCTCAACTGCCTGTTCAAATAAACTTTATTAACCTGACCGTCACTGAACATGAGCACAAGTAAAATAACAAGAAACAAGAAGGTTGATGGAAGAAAAAAAAATACACACACACACACACACACACAGACAGACAGACACACAACTTCAGAGGACATTACATTGTTTTCCTGGAGACGAACTGGAACCTTAACGAGTTATTGCTTACTTAACTCCCCATAATGACTGGTATATACATTTAGGTAACACACAACATGAGTAATACCTAGACCAGACACACACTCACACTCACGCCCAAAACTGAAACAAAAAGACCTTGAGTGCCCCCTGGTGGCTGGATGCAGTAGAGGCCTCCATGTTAGCAGATGGGACAGGAGCCAAACAAGAAAAATCAAAGTAGACATGTTTGTCAAAGATGTTTCTGTCATTTCAGCTCGTTCTCATCTCACTGATGTTTGTTCAAGTGTTTTTGATCACTTTGGTTTGAATCAGTTATTTGAAGAAATAAAATCAGGCTGAGATGTCATGATTGACAGCTGAGACTCACTCAGGATTGGTCGAGCAGCAGCTCCAACCCACAATCACTCCTGCACATAATCTGACTCCAAATGACATCATCACCACAAGATGGCAGCATTAATTTCTGACATGTTCTGGTTTCACTTCTGGAGGAAGTGGAGACGTGTCCTTGTCTGACTTGTTTCTGTGTCGGTGACCCAGAGATTGACCAGCTGTTGTGTCTGAGACCCAAAAGGTGCAGGGAGAGAGAGTGTCTGTGGTTGACACTGAATTCTAAACCTTTTTCATTTCCTAACTGGGATCTATCAAATATGCTAATATGGCTCACCTGTGTCTGAGCTTCACAGCGCCACCTGCTGCTGAGGAGCCTTTTCCAGCTGCTGAGCTCCTAACCCTAACCCACAAGTTGGCAGGATTGGCTTATTTGGTGTTTGGTTCCTATTTCACTGCTGTACACCGGGTCCTCAGTAGTTAGTTTCGTTCCCTCTCATGAACCTCATGTTATGGAATGACAGTAAATCTTCTTAAATCTTGTGACATCACAACCACTGAATGTTTGAATCTACTTCTCAACTACTTGTTCAGGGTTAAGAACAGTGGATGTTGCACCTTGGAAAGATCTATGACACAAACTGTGATATGTGGATATGAGACAAATAAAATCTGATTGACTGAATATTCAGCCATGGTGTCGACTCCTTATTTCACTCAAAATATGCCTTTAATCCTACAGAACGAAAGGGGACGTACTGACTTGATGGTCTGATAGACTGACGGGTGACGGGTTGTACTGGGGAGGGGGGTCCTCTGATTGGTGGAAGCCTCTACATAAGTTTTAGCTGATGAAACATGGTGTTTGTAAAGTTAATTCATCTGATGCACAGCTCGAGGGATCCTCTAAGTGTTTTCAGTTTAACTTTATTAAAATACAACAAAAGAAGAAAAACAGAACGTGTGTAGATGATGTGGATGAAATTTTTCAGCTACAGTCCAGAAGATATGAATGAAGAAAATAAAACACATAAAACAGATGAACTGAAGAGATGTAATACTCAGAGGTCTGCAGGAGTCCAGGGGACGAAGTCAAAATCAATGAAAAATATATTTAATTTCAGCTTTGATTTCAGAAACTGTCAGGGAATAAAATCATTGTTTCAACTTCAAATTCAATTTCACATTTGTTGTTTGAGATATGAAGGTGTCTAAACATGCTCTACTAATAAAGTTTGAATACAACCCCTGGATCCTGGATCCCTGTAATCGATCTGGTCAACCAATCAGACGACAGATTAGTTGAACCAATCAGATGGCTCGGTGTAGAAGGTGAACATGTGTGAATCTGTCTGTGTCACTTTTGTAATAGATTACATGTTCGTACACCCGGGACATACCGCCGACGTCAGCTGACAGAGCATCCTCACGGAGTTTACCTCAGATGACCTCATCAATGATAAACATGTGACCTCATCATCTGGAGCAGTGAAGGACCAAAACAAATCATTTATTTTAGCTACGGCACTGATATTTTAGGGGTCGTGTTAAAAAATTGGGGAGACACTGGATAAAAACGAAAACTCTAAATGTAATTTGACCTTTATAAGTATCTGCTGACAATGAGAGATGTGAGGAGCTACGTCAGCGAGTTGGAGCCTCACACAGGAAGTGATGTCACTGCGACCTGTCCACCAAATGTTGGCTAAATGAAAACCAGGAGGTTTGACACACGTGATGCAGGCGGAATGTCCCAGGTATTTGCCTACATGCATGTTGTATGTGTGTGTGTGTTACTGTGTGTGTTAAAGGAGTGTGTGTTACTGTGTTGTATATTAAATCTGGCGGCGGTTGGTCCTGGATCTCCTCTTTGATGTTCGATTCCTCACCAGAGCTTTGGGCTGAGGAATGATTGGCTGAGACGGGAGGGCGGGGCTTTGGATGACACGGACGGGGCTGATGGGAAGATGGGCGGGGCTCTGGTGGACGTGGGGGGGTGGCTGTTGTGGTTTAGGGGGGCTCTGAGGTTTGGCCAAGCGTGAGCTGAACTTTTTCCTCCCTCTCTCCTCGGACTCTGAGCTTTTGTCCTCTGCAAGAAAATAAAATTGAAAACATGGAATCAGATCAAAAGAAACTAGTAAAAACATGAATTCTGATCAAAAGACACTATTGAAAACATGGATTTCAGATCAAAGGATACTATTGAAAACATCAATTCAGATCAAAAGACACTATTGAAAACATCAATTCAGATCAAAGGACACTATTGAAAACATCAATTCAGATCAAAAGACGCGAGTGAAAACATGGATTCAGATCAAAGGACACTATTGAAAACATGGATTCAGATCAAAAGACACTATTGAAAACATGAATTCAGATCAAAGGACACTATTGAAAACATCAATTCAGATCAAAAGACACTATTGAAAACATGAATTCAGATCAAAGGACACTATTGAAAACATCAATTCAGATCAAAAGACGCGAGTGAAAACATGGATTCAGATCAAAGGACACTATTGAAAACATCAATTCAGATCAAAAGACACTATTGAAAACATGAATTCTGATCAAAGGACACTATTGAAAACATCAATTC